TTCCCCCCGCCCAAAACCAGGCAATTTTAGGCAATTTTTAGGCAATTTTAGGCAATCTTCGGCATGTCCTGCAGCGCCCCCCCCCCCCCCCCCCCCCCAGCCCCAGCACAGCTTGAGCTTCTTTGGGGGGTCTTGGGGGGGTCTTTGGGGTGGTTATCACCGTGGCAGCTCCCATGGCCTGAGAGAGGTTTCCAGTGGGATCCCAGGGTTCTTCCATTGTGACTGTCCTGCCTCAGGGCCCTGCCCAGGGTTCATGTCACGGGTTCTGCTCAGCTGGCAAGAACAAAACAGCTGCACCAAGAAGTGCTCAGGGAAAAAGAAACGCAGCGTTCCTCATTTGCCTGGGGGGAAATGGGGCTTTCAGGTGGGGTTCTGGGGCCCTCCAGGACGGGGTGCCTTTCCAAGATCACGTTATTCCCTCTTTTCCTCCCCTCCTCCTGGTGCCTGCAGAGGTTCTGGTCCCCCTTCCCTACCTGGAGCCCTCTGGTCAAAGTCAAAGCACAGTTTTGTATGAAAAAAAAAAATCCAAAGACAACTCAAACCCACCCCCCCATCACCCCTGTCCCCCCCCTCACATGATGTCCCTTCCCCTCTCTCCTCTCCAGAGCCAACTCGTCACCTGCACATCCCTGGGAGCCACTGGGCAGAAGTTATTTTCCACCAGAAAGGTCAGTGGTGCTGGGCTGGGACATTCCCCAGCACCAACCAGCCGTTCAGGCCACGGAGCATCCCCGGCCAAAACCAGGAGCTGCTTTTGGGCAGGTCTGACCCAAGGAGGTGGTCTCAGCCCAGGGCTGCCTCATCTCCCCTGCCCCTCGCCCAGGGATGCTCCTCACAGCTCCCATGTGCAAAGAACAGGGAAGGAAACACCCAAATAGCTCAGCAAGGCTTGTTTTGGAGGAAAAAAAAGCCAACCCAGTGCCATGCCATGATCCCAAGCACACTGCTGTGTCCCTGCCAGGACAGAGCCATTGTCCCCAGAGTCCCTGTGGGGTGAGCACAACCCTGCTCTGGTCCTGATGCTCATCCAGCCTCGGTGAACAGCAGCACTGGGGGATGTAGGAGCCTTGGGGTGGGGGGGCTAAAGCCCCTTCCCAAAGTCCCCATGGGGTGAGCATGACCTTGCTCTGCTCCTGATACTTCTCCACACCTGGTGAGCACCATCACTGGGAGATTTAGGAGCCTCGTGGTCCAGAGAGGGGTGGGGGGGGTTGACTTTGACTTCAAAATCAAGTCGGGCCAAAGAAACACTGATGAATTATTTTTTTGGTGTGTGAATGAAGCAGTTTCAGCTTCGTGCCAGGGCTTCAGAGCCTGGTTGGGCTCTCGGGTGGCTGTTTCTGGGCGTTTCTCCTGCCCAGCCAGATGAAGATGCCCCATGTGGGACACTCACCGGGCTGCCGGGCTCGCTCCCCAGCACGCTACACTTGTGGAGGTCCCTCATTTGCCTGGACTCTGTGCAGAGAGGGAAAGCACAAACATTCAAGCCCCCAGCCCCCCGCGCCGCTTCCCCGCGGGCTGAGAGGGAACGGGGGTCCCGGGTTGTTCCTGCAGGACCATCCCTGCTGGCACCAGGCTGAGCCCCCACCAGCAACCCCAGAGTCCTCCAGCCCCATGCCAGGTAGTTCCACATCATGTTCTTCTCGAGAACAAAGTCCTGCCAGCACAGGTGACTGCAGAGCCCCCAGCCCAGCCACGCACACATCACCCAGCTCAGAGTCACCCCATCCAGAAACCCTGGGACCAGCAGCCCCTTCCTACAGGAACACGGGCTGGGAGACACTTTGGGGCTGGATATTTTCAGCCCAACCAGCTTCTGGAAGCAGCAGAGATGGGGAGGATGATGCCCCAGCCCCAGGGAAAAGCCATTTTGCAGCCTGGCACTGAGGACACTTTTAAAATGGTGCCATTTCCAAGGCTTCCAGGTTAGAATGAGCTGGTTATTGATAGGGAAAAAAAATGTAAAAGGCAGCTTGCATGAAATCCAGCACAGGCTGATGGACACAGGGGTGGGAGGGCTCTGTATGAGCCCTGGTCAGGATTATATATTGACGGCTAAAAAGCAGATTATGGGTATTTAGGAGGCAGGCGAAGCTGCACGTCCCATCACAGGCTAATGAGGTCAGGAGTGAAGAGTAAAACTCCCCACTGAAGCCTCCACGCAGCTAGTAGGGTTTGGGTGGTTCTGACTCCAAGATCAGCAATTCCACAGGGACCTCATCCAGCTCTCCTGGGAGCCACAGCTCCTGCTGCCAGGGCTGGGGACAAGGGCAGCTCCAAGGGCTGGGGACAAGGGCAGCTCTGCTCCTCCCTCCCCCACCCCTGCAAGCCCCTCCACGGCTGCCCACAGGCAGAAATCCCACCTGGAAATGCTCCACTGTGCCAGGGACACAATCCTAAATTTCACTGACATCCTGAAGCTGCTTTTTCTTTTAGAACAGGGATTTTTTTCCATGAATGGTCCAACCCACCAGTAAGTAAGCAAGTAAATAAATAAATAAATATGGTTAGATGTATCCCAACTTAGTCATAAATAGTAAAAAATACAGAAAAGAGTTTTCTCCTCTGGAAGAAGCTGGTGGTTTTGATCCCTGTGGAAAGCTGATAAGCAATTGGACAATTTTTGTTTGATTGACCCAAAGGGGAGCCCTGGGGTGCTGCACCAGCCTCAGAGCCATCCACTGTGTGTGCACCAAGGGCAGGGTGAGGAGCCACCAGTCCCTCTTCTGCCAGGAGAAGGGGCAACTTGTGCATGTTCATCCCACTGTGGGGAGGCTTCTCCCCATCCCCACCAGCCACAGTCCCTGGAGCAGGGCAGAGCCCTTCAGCCTGCTCTTGGCAGCCCTTCAGAGACCCAAATCCCACAGCAACCAGCAAAGCTGCTTGTTTTCTCCTTCTTTATGCATCTGGCTGATGGCACAAACAGCTGGAGCAGCAGAGGGGGGGTGAGGGAATGGCTCCAGCCACAGGAAACACCTTTGGGCTCTAATAAACACAGGAATAAATGCACTGAGCTTGGGGGGTTGGGGGGGAGGAAAGAAAGAGCATGTTCCTCTAAAACAGGTTGCCACGTTCCCAACCCCTCCATCCCACAGCATGGATGGGCAGCAGCTGGAGGGGATGGACCCTGCTGGCACCTACTCTGATGGTGAGATGCAAGTGCTGCAGGAGCAGTGGCCACGCTCAGCAGGAGCCAAGGGGCTGCTGGGGAGACCTTAGAGCAGAGAAGGCCACAGAGATGATCCCAGGGCTGGAGCAGCTCTGCTCTGGAGCCAGGCTGGGAGAGCTGGGGTGTTCAGCCTGGAGAAGAGAAGGCTCCAGGGAGACCTTAGAGCAGCTTCCAGTGCCTGCAGGGGCTCCAGGAAAGCTGGGGAGGGTCTTGGGACAAGGGTATGATGCTCTGATGATGTTAGTAGTGGGACAATGTCCAGGCTGAGGAGATACTGGACACACCAGGCAGCCCTACAGCCCAGGGCAGAGCTCCTACAGGGCTGAGCCAGCCTCCATCACAGCATGGTTCTGATTTGGTCCCCCTCAAATGGGGCTGAGCTGCAAAAAGCCAGAGCAGATCTCTGCCTGTGCACCCTGGATGCATCCCACCTCCCTGACAGTGACCTGGGAGAGGGGGCAGAAGCCCAAGATGGGATTTTTGGCTGGCACAGTTTGTTTCAGGAAAGCCACTTGCCCTTAGTTTGTGGACAAGGAGAAGAGGCAAAGAGAGCTCCACGTTTCTCCAACGTGTAAAGAGCAGTGGAATGATTTCACAAATATCAAGGATTAATCCCACTGACATGGTCTAAACAAAGGACAAAAGAGAGATGAACATTTCTGAGGCAGTATCTGCCAGCTGAGTTTTTTCCAGCCCGGAAGGAAGTGCCTGGGATTTCCCTGGAGTTCAACTTTTCAATGATTTCTTCTTTCTAGAGCCCCCTGACTGCCTGGGAAGAGCCTTTCCTCTTCCCAAGCCGCTGGGAAAAGAGCACCGAGCCAGGCCAGATGTCTCCTGGGCTGTCACCACCAGTCCCCATCCCTCCTTGGCCATGGAGCTGCCTCCTCCTGCCCCTTCACATGATCCCAGAGATGTCACGGAGCAGCCAGGACCGACAGGAAAAGCATCCCTGGCACCAACATTCCCCTCACCAGCAGGGGCCCCATTTTGGACCATTCCCCCCCCAGAAAACCTTCTGGGGGAGGCAAACCAACTCCCTCCTGGGCCCACGGGCTGAGAAGAACCACAAATCTCACACTCCTCAATAAACTATGCAAACAAGCAGGATTTCCCTCCCACTCTGTTTCCCAACTCCTTCCCACCCTGCGGAGCCGGTGGAAAGATCCTGATGAGGCACAAAGTGTTTCTGGTCCCCAGAGCTGCCCTGGGTCACTGGCCATGGGGTTTTACCCTCCTCCAGCTTCTTGGGATACCGTTTCCTTGAGGGCAATAAATATTGCAGGCTTTTTTCTCAACTTGAGGGGGTTTTAGGAGGCTCAGAGAGGTGGAAAAAAGTCTCTTTCAGGTGCAGATATGGGTGGGTAACCAAGGCAGGTGCTCACCCAGCAGAGTTATTTCACATCTCATTAGGCAGCATCAAGAAGACTGAGTCAAGCCTTGATCCCAGCATTTTTTTTCCAGCCAGGGTCCAATATTTTAAAGCAAAATCAGCGGGAATAAGCAGCTGAACAAGAGCCTCTGGTGGGAGGATGCCATCAACCCAGCCCCTCCTGTGTTCTCCTGCTTTTTAGTGGATGGTGAAGAGGGGAAAAGTGGCACGTGGGGTATGAAAGGAGACCTGGAGACACAGGTGGGGTGGAGCCTATGGATAAGAAACCACTTGGGAAGGTGCTGTGGGGTGAGTGAGGGGGGAAAAAAAATCAGGGCAAAAAAGGACTCCTGGAGCACTAATGTTCCTACTTCTGTGATAGCCTGGATAAAATCCTAACCGAGCCCCAGCTCCGTGCAGGACATGAGCCACAGGAACTTATTTATCCTGGCAAACACGACTTTTCTAAAGCAGGGAGAGAGTGAGCAGCTCCCACACCTCTCCCTCACTTGCTGTTTTCCACCCCAAGATCCCAACATGTTCCCTGGGAAGGAGCACCCCGGGATGCAAGGAGCAGCATCCGGGCTCCGGCGCCTCCTTTCCCATCCAGCCCTTTGCTCCTGGACAGCTTACAAAACCACCAAGGGGTTTTTTTTTGGGGGGGGGAAGTTGATCCCAGCTGGGGGCCAAAGTTTTCCAAAAGAGAAGAAGGAAGGGGAAAAAAAAAAGAGAAAAATAAATAAAATAAAAGGAGAAGAAAAACAAACACCGACCGCTAAATATTTCGGGCTCCAGAAAAGCGTTTCCTGGCCAGCGCGAGGAAGAGCCAGAGCCCGGGGGGTGAAGGTCACAGCCCGGCTGGGGATGGGGTAAAGGAGGCACCCACCCCCCCTCTGGAGAGCCTGGACAAACCCTGCCTTGTTCTCCAGCTCCCAGGAAGTGGGAAACCAACCCCAGGAGGGAAGCGGAGACTTGTTATTCGGGCACAAACGCGGCAGCTCGTGGAGGAACATTTGTGACATCCCCCCTGCCCCCTCACACCCACTCACCCACCACAGCCTCACAGCTCAGCTTCTCCCTATTTTTCCTTATGTTTTAGCACACAACGCTCCAGAATCCGGTTTCTTTGCACTTCACATAATTAGAAGAGCAGCCCAAGTGATTCCCTTTGCCAGAGGATGGCAGTGAATGGGCCTGGAGCTGTGAATCCCCTGGGAATGTGCAGGTGCCCGTGTCTCCCAGGGCTGCTGGCTGCAGCCCCACCTGCCCTCACCCAAGAGATGTTTCTGGACAATATTTCTGCATATTCAGCTTTTTTTGGCCACTTCCTTAAAGGACTCTGTGTTTCCACAAGGACCGAGCCTTTCTCACCAGATGTGTGGGGCTTTTTTGGGGACACAGGGTCAGATTCTGGCGGGAGGAGGGAGGCGGCAGCTGCTGAGCTTGATAAAAAGTGGCTTTTGGGGCCGTACAAGCACCTGCCCAGGGATCTGCAGAGCACCTGGGGGTGGCACCGAGGGGGTGAGAGGGGCTGCCATGGCCCTGGGCTGGCTCCATCCCTCTCTGGTCCCCCTGGGGGCACTGCTGGGGTCCTCACCTACCCTGCTCTGCTCCGAGGGGCTGCTCGGTGACCCCTGACACCAGGGATGGATGTGGGGCTGAGGGAACAGTGGGTGCTCCTCGACCCTGGAACACAGGGAAACCTGCACCTCAGCTTCACCAAAACGGGCTTGAGACACTCCAGGTGCCAACATGCCCCAAGGTGCAGCCTTTAGGGCAGCTAATTAATTCCTTAATGATCTCAGGATTAGCTCCAGCCCCACTGCTTTCATTGCTGGCCCCCAGACCTGCACTTAGTGCTGCTGGAGCAGGGATCTCAGAGCATGAGCTGAGCACTCCCCTTGCA